TAAGGACTTTAGGGTTTAGGCTTCAGGGGTTTGGTTAGGGTTTTGAGGTTTAGGGTTTAGAGGTTCAGGGTTTAGGAGTATAGGGGCTAATGGGTTTAGGGTTTAGGGTTTAGGGGTTCAAGGGTTTAGGGTTTAGAGGTTTAGGGTTTAGGGGTTTAGGGGTTGAGGGTTTAGGGGTTTAGGGTTTAGGGGTGTAGGGTTTAGGGCCTAGGGTTTAGCCTCGCCATCAGGAATGCTGCCATTAATGTAGGGGCCTTAGTAATTAGAATGGGGTTTAAGGTTTAGGGTTTTTTCCCTCTCGCATTGTTGAGAACAGGGTTTAGGGTTTAGGGTTGGGCCTTAATCATTAGAATAGGGTTTGGGGGTAGATTCGTAGATTATTTCATAATTGTAATAAGGAGCCCCCCAAAATAGTATAGGTATTTATTAAGGCTCCTATATTACGGCCATTATTGCTTTATTCTTATTGCTTCATTACTATCATTCTTATTGTGGCTCCTTTCAGGGTTCCATACAGGTCTAGAGTTTAGGGGCTGGGAGTGAAGTATAGGGGCCGGAGTGATTCAAATAGGCTGTTGAGGAAGAAGCCTTTTAGGGACGAAAGGGCGGGTGATTACCAAGTGTTCTGATCTCTATATCAACCCCAGCCTGCCCTGGCCACTAGTAGTGGCTGTCAACCAACAGACTCCATCAAAAGCCCAAGTCGTAACCCAAAAAAACGCTTCAGCCAAAACTTTCATTATCTAGGCCCCAAAGCCCTGAAACCAAAACAACCCAAACCCTCAAGCTGCGAAAAAATCGAAAGCACAAAAGCTGACTACACCCTAAACCCGAAACCGCGGCTTCTGAGGATTCTCGAAGGGCTTCGGTCACAGGGCTTTGTGTTAAGGGTGGTCCTCAAGGCTCAGGGTAAGCTTCGAACCTGGACTCCTGCACCTTGAAACCCACCAACTCTTGTAGAACCTTCCCCCCAAATCCCTCCAACTCACTAGGACTCTATTTTTTAGCACTCACACTAGGACTCTATTACTCTTACAGGAATCCGGAAAACCTGAACCCTTCTACACATCCCTCAAAAAGGGGCTCCTGGGCCGTGATGGTGGCGGTTCGAGGGCAGGTGTACAGCAGGGCCATCTCGCCGAAGGCGAAGCCCGGCCCGCACTGGAAGACCTCCAGTCGGAGATGCATGTGCGTGCTCTCTACATAATTATATATATATATATATATATATATATACATACATACATACATACCTAGCTATTTGTATACATACATATGTGTGTGTGTCTTGTAATATACATGTGTATATATGACTGTATCTATTCCTTCGTTAATTATAATATATATATATACACATATTTACAGGTTTATATGTATGTCTACCTGTGTATGTATAGCGCGAATATTTCTACATATATGTATGTGTGTATACCGTTTAAAGGCACGCTAGCCCCAGCCAAGCACATCAGCACGACCAGACATACACAAATCAGAGCTTTTTCTGCCTGCGCCCGTGAGGTTCAATGTCACACAAGCATGCTGCAGAGGAATCGAAGATCTTCTTCTGCAGTGCCAGTGGACCTCTTAAAGCCTAAGCCCGCTGTAGAGAGAACACAGGATGAAAGGGACGAAATGGCCCTCGTATATGTCATAAGGAAGCCTTCGGAATAATGTTAGATGATACTGGTAACCAGTAACTAGTAGCTATTCAGGCTTCTACTTTAGACGGTAAAGACCGGCGCGGCGCCGGCTTTCCCGAGCTGCACACGGCGCTGAGCCACCGGAGCAAAGCCGATGCGCTTCTCCTGCCAGTCGAAGGCGGCGTAGTACCGGCGGAGGACCGTCTCACCAAAGGCATAGACGCCATGAAACTCCTTGGCATCCAACTCCAAGGAGCCGAGCTGAGGCGCACAGTCCGAGCCGGTGACGTAGTCTTCCACACGGAGCTTCAGCGTCATCGCTCCGAGGTCGAACTCCAAGTCGGAGCCCTGGCAGCCGCCGCCGACCAAAGGCACGGCATGGGACAAAGCAGCCCGGAGAGCCTCGAAGTTGTTCTGCTGAACACCGAGCCGCGAAGAGCCCGTATCGATGATGCCTCGGCAGCCCTCCTGGCAAGAGTCCACCGTCACATTTCCCAGGCGGACGCTTTGGATCGCCACCTCCCAGAAACCGTCCTCGGGGTGCAGCACGGAGAACCACTTCAGCTCCTCGGCCAGACGTGCCGAGTTGTGGCCCCCGAAGTAGATCTCGCCCGACTGGGCCCCGAAGGACAGCCCGAACTGCGGCAACATCGAGGGGTTCGTTTCCATCAGCCGCTGGAAGAAGACGCAGCCGCTTTGCGTGGAAAGGCCTGCAAGGCTCAAGCCAAGCATTCCATCGTAAGGCATAGCATCGAAGAGTTCGTCATCCATCTTCACGGCAGCCATAATGTCGAGGTTCGTGCAGACCTGATGACCGAACTCTGTCCCCAGGCAGACGTCGTCGTGCACAAGGACGGCACGGGCTGCACCTTCGCCAAGGTCGGCCTGCGTGAACTCCACCATCACCGCGTCCCTCTTGGTCTTCCCTCGAACGAGGCGCTCCTTCTCCTTCACGCGCTTGCCGTTGGCGTTGACGTCCACGGCGGTGGCGGAGCGGAAGGGCGAGTAGCGCTTGTGCTTCCTGCAGGCTTGGCTTTCGCAGGCGGAGTGGGGAACGAGCAAGTGGCCCGAGGCGGTGTCGAAAAGGACCTGAAGCTCCTGCGGCTTCGGCTGCCCCAGTGCCAACCTTCCGACGTAGAAATGGGAGCGGTGCAAGCCTTCCACACGCTGGAGCCGTACCACCAGGGGTTCCGAGCTCTCCTGCGGCTCGGGCGTGCGTGTACGGAGGACGTTGCTGCTGAGGTCGGCTGCGGCAGTCACTGCCGAGGTAAGAAGAAGCGCCGCAAACACACCGACCTTGGCCATGTTGTGATTTGCGCGCGGAACTACGTTGCAACGAGGATGCTTCTTGAATAGCAGAACGGCTTTGCGGGCCGGCGATTGCGGAATCGTCTGGGTAGTGAAAGCAGAACAGTGCCGGTTTAGGGCGTTTTTCCCTCTGGCGTTTCGGGCTCAGGGTTTAACCCTCTGGTGGATGACCGCCTATTACGGCCTTGTTTTCATAGACACGTGCAAGCGGTTTCTTCCTTGCGGACATAGCCATTGGCACAACATTTCAGGTTAGGGGCTTATGGCTTTATTGAGGGATTAGGGCCGTTGAGGGTATGGGGGCCTATGGGCTTTGTGAGCTTGCTTAATAAGGGTCAGGTACCTACGATTTCAAAGGCTTATCTACAAGTCTGTTTGAGACAACTCCTGATCAGGGTTCTAAACTTAAATTTAACAAGCAAATCTCGTTAGAGTTTAAATCCACAAGTCTTCTGGTGATACACGTTCCTTCAACATCGCTGCAAGCTCCTAGAATCACGCCCTGAAAGACCCGTTTCCCGGGCCTTCTTCGGGGGATCCTCCCCCTTCTTCACGAAGATGTCAAACTGCCCGCGCTTTACCTGACGCGGAGATGCTTCCGAGCATAATGTCGCTCAGAGAATTAAGAGCTTCGGGGTCTCGGATTTTCGCGGATTGAGGGTTCTAGGGGTGTCAGGGCAATGTTGTCAACATTATAGAGAACTCCAAATAAGGGTTCCGAGGGCATTTTAGAAAATGCAATGAAGCTCCGAACCTTAAAAAGGTGACAACGGCACGTGGGGTTGAAGGCTTGAAGGATCAGGCGGCTGCAGGCAGGCATTCAGGCTATGCATAGGACATACTGAGTGTTGTTTTTGTGCTGAGAGAGTTGAGGACGCCAGGTATGTCGTGCTGATCCTTGCCCTCTTCACCTGGTTTTCTCGTACGGTCCGCCAAGACTAACTTGCGCTGGAATCGAATGGCAGTCAGCAGGAGGCTTCGATGGCTTGTGCACCTAATAAGAGGCTTAGGGTTCAGGGCATTACGTCCGCAATGACTCTCCGCAACATGTAGCTTCATTGCCGGATCATCCACGAAATTTACTAGACCTGGTAGCCTTCAGTCAAAAACGACTAGAAAGGCTCTCATCCTCCCGACTTTCCTTTTAGGGTTTAGGGTTTTAGGGTTTAGGGTTTAAGGTTCCTTCGTCGCAGCAGCACCAGCAAGAGCAAATCCTGGCAACATCTGGATCTGGACAATATCCCTGAGCAACCGCAAACCGAAACCGTCTTTCCTACTCAATCCACGTGATCCAAGCAGCGATGTAGAAATAGTCTCCCTCCTCTCCCTGCGAGATCACGTCCTCGCCTGCGTGTTTTTGAGGCTTGCACATACCGGGGCCTTGCTAGGTGGAGTAGAGTAGGGCTTTGGTGCGTCTTTTGATATAACTCCACAGGCACTGGCAAGGGGATGGTGTGTCCAGTTTTTCAGAAACCCAAATCCTAATCATACATACCATAACTTTACGGCGTGAACGCTCGCACTTGGCGAACCAGACAAGGAAACTGCAAACAAGGTCGAGCGATTTAAAGTTGCTCACTCAACCCTCCACACTTACCCCTGAACCCATAAAATCGCTTCTGACAAAGTCTTGACTCATGACCCAAAGTCTTTGCTGAATGCCGCGCTTGACATAACATGAGGTAGCTGCGTCGATAGAACGAAATAAAGAGGACTTGTACTATGCTAAACTGCTAAACCCCTTTGTGTCGAATCATGCTTTCGACGGAAGTTACACTCAACCCCTGACAGGCAAATCGCTAAAGCCGTTGCGCCGTAAACCCCAAACCCTGCAGCATCTACTAGTCTCTTGTATGTAGCCTCTCACTGCGTGGGGCTTGAACTGATAAGATGTTCTGATACAGGACGGGCCTTCGTCAGGGCATTAGAGGTTCAGAAAAGTGGCCAAAAAAGCCTGTCATGAACTATTCTTAGGTCGCAGCTTAAACCAAGACCAGTATGACGTTGGACGGATGCAGCGCTTGCAGCGCCTTTGCCGAACTTTTTGATGAACATGGCATCCAGGATCATTTCCTTCAAAGGTGAGGCCGAGCCCTAAGGCCCTAAACCAATCTGAAGGGGGTTTAGGGCTTAGGGTTTAAGGGTCAAGGGTTTAGGCTTTAGGACGAAGAGCATTCAAGATGCGTCAGCACGAAAGACTCACACTCACACCACGACTCCCGCGACTGCGTCACAACAGTGCAGTCGAGTCTCGAATGTCTTCTGGTTCACTGTGCCAAAGAGCATGTGGATCTTGCCTGAACCCAACAAAGCCTACAGCTCAGCCCCTACCCTTCCTGGCCACAGTCTTGCTCAGCTGTCCTTGCTTGGAGCCGATAAAGCTGCAACCCTGCACCACCTCTAGTCAACACGTTTGATAAGAGTTGAAATGCGGACCTCCCGGGATCCTAAAGCTTGCGACCCCAAGCCGAAAACCAAGGGCAAAACCAGCCAGGTGGCTATCACGAGAGGATTTGATGATTTCCGACAGTGACGCACGCTCCTCTGCCGTCTTCTCGTACCTCAGCATCTCAAGCTTGTCTTCGACCGTCAGGCATCAATTTGCAGAAATACTAGGTAACTAGGTCCCCCCCGCCATCCAAAGACTGTAGCGGACATCTCCGCAAAAACACGAGAAGACAGCATACCCCTGAGCCCCACCCTGAGTACGGAAACGCCCGGCTGTCTCGATTCATCCGTGTGACACCGGTGGAGTCCAGCTGTCCTGACAAAAAATGTGACAAGGGTTCGCTTCCAAAAAAGGTTGAATATGTACCTGCAATTATTGACCGGATGAATTTGATTAACTGCATATCGTTTACTTAAGGGGCGCGGGCGCTCTGCGGCTTACGAGTTGTCCAGCGATGGCATGCTGTACTGCTGCATCAACACGGAAGTCCTTGATGAGGAATACAATAAAATCCCAAAACATCGCGTTTGAAGAAGTGCGGGTTGTGCATAAATCACGCAACCTCTGGAATAGACTAATTGACTTGCACGACCCAGGAAGTGTCAAAAGAAGCGTATCAAAACACGTGCCAACCCGAACCCGCAACTTTCCTTTTCCCTCCGACAAGCCCAACTTAGCAGGGTTTAGGGCTAATACGAGTGGATGTATCGCATAACCAGCCACGGCAATAAGAACTAGAAAAGGAACAGGTCAGCACAAGTTAGGGACAAAATGGCTGGTGGCAAGCGGCACTACCTCTGCAACGTTACAGTGTTGAAGTAGTAGCTGTAGAAGTGACAGCAGTTGCCAGCAAGAGGAGGAAGAGCAGCAGCACTTGCAGAAGGCTCCAATTACGGTCCTCGTTGTCATCTTGTTCTACAGGAAGTCAGAACAAACACAGGCAGCAGGCACAACATAGATTGAGCGTGTGATACGGGATCCGTGAAGGCTGTTCAGTTTGGGTGGGGTCCTCTCCGCCTCTAAGGAAAAAAAAAATATATATATATATATATATATACATATATATATATACACATAAAAATCAAGGAAACAAACGAACATACATACGTATACACATATTCAGTTTTCTTATATATCACCAGTAACAACATGCCCCTTACATGCCTTCTGCAACTTAAATATCAGGTCCCCCCGACTCTCTCTTTCTCTCCCTCCCAAGCCCCCGGCCCCCCCCCCCCCGTTTGAGCTGTTAGAGATCCGATCTCT